GACAGTTCTGGGGAAATGAAATTGGCAGAAAGGAAAGAAAAGGTCATTTCTGTAGCTATTTCAGGGCTTACCAGGAAGGAACTTTGCTGAGAGGAGATACTTTGAAATGTTCCACCTTCTGCATGCCGAGAACAGTTGCAGAGGTGACCCCACCAATAAGGGGGTCTCCTGGCCCATGATAGCTGGATGGGTCTGCTGCAGCCCTGCCCAATGTCACGGAGCACTTGGCTGCCAGACTCACACAGGTTTCCAGGGGATGCAGCAGAAGGGGCAGCAGCAGCAGCAGCAAATGAAGTGTCATCCTGGCTCCCAGGTTCAGAGCCCATCCTCCCCTCCACTCACAATTAGAGCCCCAAGCTGCATTGGGGTTTTTACTTTTCAGGCATTTTCACACAACATTCTCCCCTGCACTGCTCCAGAATCCCTTCTTTGAGTCAAAGGCCCCCTGGGGAGAATCAGCTGAGCCAAGGCAACAGGAGGAAGAGTATGTCACAAGGGATGTGATAATTGCTGGGCAAGCACTTCACCTCTGAAATTCCCAGGCTCCCTGTGCAGCTTCATCCAAACTAAAGCTCGATGCAGATAAGACAGAGGTTCTGTTGGTGGGTGATTCGAGGTCCTGGGTAGGTGACATGGGCCCTGCCCTGGACGGGGTTGCACTCCCTCTAAAGGACAGGGTCCGCAGCTTGGGAGTGTTCCTCAACCCGAAGCTGTCGTTGGAAGCCCAAGTGACAGCGGTGGTGAGGAGCACTTTCCTCCAGCTTCAGCTAATTTATCAGTAGCCTCCCTACCTGGAGGAGGATTGCCTAGCAACAGTAACACTCACATTGGTTACTTCATGGTTGTATTTTTGTAATGCACTTTACTTGGGGCTGCCCTTGAAGACAGTCTGGATACTTCAGCGGGTTCAAACTAGAGCTGCCAGGATGCTGTCAGGGACTGGGCGTTATTCTCATATAATCCCAGTCCTCTATCAGCTCCATTGGCTTCTCATCATAGTCCGGGTTCAATTCAAGGTGCTGGTTATTACTTAGAAAGCCCTAAACAGCTTGGGACCAGGATACCTAAAGGAACGCCTTTTTCCCTATTTGCCCTCCTGCCCCCTGAGATCAGCAACAGAAGCCCTCCTCCGGAAACCCTCTGTGAAAGATAATAGGAGACAGAATACCCGGAGGAGGGCCTCCTCTGCGGTGGAACCCCGCCTATGGAATGCTCTCCCCAGAGAGGTCCGCCTGGCCCCATCATTATATGTTTTTTGGTGCCAGATCAAGACCTTTTTATTTAATAAAAGTTTTAATATGTTTAATACTGGATTTTGTTGTTGCATTTTATTAATTTGCAGCCAGAG